CCTGTCACCATAACCGCTGCTTAATTTTATACTCCTCATAATTTTCTGGATCCCTGTACTTTCTTTCCTTTCTTGGTTTCCTCTTGGAACAAAATCCCTCTCACAAGTTATTTTACTGTGATGCTGCCTTCATTCAAGTGCCCACTTCAAAATTTTAATCTGTAAACTGCTCTTACATATTTTTGCTCTTTTCTATCCATTTCTTTTTGAGGGCTGCAGAGACTAAAGAATCGTTCTTCATTTTATTGTTTTGTTTGTTTAAACAGTAAATTGCCTTAGTTAAAGTATTTAGTCAAATAAGTATTTTTTTTTCTCATATTATTTCTATACTCTTAGCCATCGATGCATGTTCAGGGAATCACAGATGATTACAAAATAATTTACTGCTAAAGTTCTATACTGAGTTCCTATTGAACAGCTAAAATAACAAATTAGTCAAGAAGCTATTGCTCCGTTAAACTTCAGCATCATTCTTGTCTGAACTCTCAGCGTTTTCCTTGTTCATTTACATGCATCTGCCAAGCAGTATTTTTTTCTGTTTCTTTTTTGGGACAGGCGGTTATTTGGGAGACATGATTGTGAGAATGGCTGAAACATCCTGCTAATTGTATGTTCAAAGGTAAAACAGCATCAGAGGTAACATTTCCTGCATGCATGCGTGTTGTTTGCAAATAAATGCCTGGCCGAATATCTGAATGCTTATTAGCAAATGTTTTGTATCAGTGTCAAGGCTAGAATTTTAATCACATTTCCCCCTGACATGAGACATGTAGTTGAAGAAAGTGATGTTGTGCTGCAGCTGGAAGCCAACATGAGTCTGGAATGACACATTTCTTCACTGTGGAGTATTTTTCTCCAGCTGTTCATGCATGGGCTGGGTTGTGGAGGCTGCACCTGTGCGCTCTGGGCTAGCACAAGTCAGGGAGGATTCCCTGCCATAACATTTCTATCTGAAACACATATTTTGTCCCTGAAGAAATGGGCTAATGTCAACAAAAATGGAAACTTCAAAAAAAAAAGTACGTAGTGCTGGGGAAAGCTAAGCATCTTTGCACTTAAATGTGTCGGGTGATTAATTTAATGTGCCATATCCCTCACACAGACATTCCTCCTCTTTGCCAAAAGCTGAGTACAGTTGGAAGTCTGTAAATGATCATAGTTGCCAGACAGCTTAAAATTGAGATACCATGAAATGCAAACAAATGGAAATGTTTCTCTCTTGTATAAATATAAAAGAATTATTAAGCATTAAATACCAATTGCAAGAAGAATCAATTGAGATGGTCGGAGCTGAAACCAAGCTGGGTACATGCTTGGAGCATGATTTGAGATAGCACGGGCTGGGCAAGCAGCTTCTGCTGCACACACAGATCCTGCAACCAATGGGTTCGTTAATGCTGCAGAACCTTCCGAAGTAATTTGGAGATTTGGGGTAATTCATAATCATTTACATAGATGCCCTGATGTACAAATATGAGTAAGTGGTAAGTCATGTTTCTTCTGTGCTTCCATATACCATCCCTCTGCTTGTTTTTCCTTAGTTATCTGGTTTACGAGATCTCCAGAGCATGCATAGCTCATAGCTATGTGTCTGTAAAGTGCCAAGGACAATAAAATTTTGATTTTGTCAAGGCAGGAGGGTAAACTAGCTACACAATAAGTTATGAAAAGAGACAGTTAAACCAAACATAGCTGTAGCCTAAAAAGAAAGGAAATTGTGCTTTGTACATTTTACAAGAATTGTGCTTTACAGACTAAAAAGTACACACCTCCTTTAGAAAAGGGCAGTGGTACCGTAACAGTTTTCATGAATTCATCTGGACAATATTGATGTGTAACCTTTCTTTTGTTTTAGAAAAATGTTTTTGAGTGATCTCCTCTGACCCACTGTTGCCCCCTTTTGCTTAACGTTCAGTTCTGTTGAAATGTAGTATTCCCATATACTGCCATTAAATTGAATAATACAGGCGTATGATTCAATCCAAACTGCCTGCACCAGTTACTAGCCTCCCAGAGAGTATCCAGATGTTGCTTGAAAAGAGAAGGCTGGGAAAGGAATAAACAATTTCACTTGGTGACCGGGCCAGTGCAGCTTTTAATCTCGGCCATCTTCCACTTAAAAAATCTTGCTGAAGTAAAATAATTATATTTGAGACATAAGTATCTTTTTTTTCATGCGTGAGTCTCAAAGGTTTGTAGAAAGATGACAAAACATACTGTCCAAGACAAACAGAAAAGGAAACTGAGGCACGGCCTTGTATCAAACTATAGAAAGGCCAAGGGAGAAGCACAGGGATTCCAGAATATACAGCCTCCTTACATTTTAGCAGGATTTCTTTCTGCATTAGCCGACTTCCTGCAAAAACAGAAAATGTTCCTGCTGAGACTGTAAAGACATGGCTAAAATCCAGTGTTCTTGGTACAGCTCTGGGTCCCAGGTGGACAAGGACACTGTTATAATGTAAGGGCAGCAGATGGAGAAAAATGAATAGCTAGTTGCTTGTTACAAGGAAGATGTAGAACTCGACAGGGAACTGAAGACTGGTATTCCTGAACTGCTTTTGTGGGGTTATTTTTTAGATTTTCTCTTTAGTTACATAACAACATACGCTTTCTCTATTTCCAATGTTAAAATAGACCATGTTAAAAAAAAAGAAAAGAAACAACCAAACACTCCCTCTGTAAGTGGGGTGGCACTGCCATATGCTGTTGAGGCACTGAGGCCTTTTTCCATCAAAGCCAACTAGATGCTGTACCCAATTTGCTGTGCAATGTCTGCAGCCTCAAAGCCGTGAGGTACAGCAATGTGCAAGAAAACAAAGACCAAAGGAAAAGTGTCTGCTTGGCAATCAATGCTTGAAGATTGGTCCCTTCAAGCACTGGTAGCTCCCTGGATCTCCATGGCGTTTCCAGTGGGCAATTTGCTTTGCCTCAGCTATGCTTGGAGAGTTGAAAACACTTTTTCTAGAAATAAAGCTCTCTGCAATGCTGAAAGCCAGCATCCTCCTGAAGCACATTCAAAATATTCTTTTCAAATGCCTGTCATGGCAGTTGTAGGAACTTTGCCTTCAGCCACAAGTGGATGTGAAGTTTTGCTGCCCACCTCACCTGTTTGCCAATGGAGAAGGTGTGGAAATCCTACCCAACGGGACTCAACTGGGCAGGTTCTCTTCTGGCTGGAGGGACGTTGCCTTGGCCGCACAGCGGCCCCTGTTCCAGAGCTGTGCAACGCAGCCCAGAGTTAACTTCAGGGAACTGCTGTATCGTTGACATCTGGGATGCTCCACAGTTGGATAATGCATCCCCAAAGACGTGGATTGTCAATAGCAGGCACCAGCCTGCACTCACGGCAGATGTCTGATACTCAGCAGTTACTGGAAGGAAAACTTCCCACCCAGGAACTGTCAAATGCGAGATGCCTGCAGTGTATTAAGAGGTTTAGAAATAAAATACTAGGTTTGGATAGAGCTTTGCTTTGTGTGAAGTTTCTCGTCAAAATAATTTTGAGGAAGGATTGTTTTTCTTTTTTTAACACCTGTTTTTGACATTTCTGAGATGGAAAAGCTTTTTGTGGTTGTCAAAATGACTCTGTCATGAAATGGAGATGTAGGGAAGGTAACAAAGAAGTTAAAACGAATCCATTTTAGGAATTCTTGCAAATAGTTCTTCCACGTAAAATAAAATTCTAAGTTCTAGCACCTCTCAGCCTACCTAAGGCCCCAAGAAATGTGGAAATGGAAAGGAGAAATTCCCAGCTGTGCTCTGAGATCCAAAGAGAAAGCAAAACCCCCTCTCACTCCTAACGCATGCCCTTTCCGTACGGGGGTACATCCATTTCTGTGAAGAGTTTAAACTTCAACTGGTCACTGGTAGTCAATCTTGGACCGAGAGCAGTGTGTTATTGAGAACCAAAGGGATCACGTTTTTGGTTGACAGCTCTTCTGAGAAAGACTGGGCCTGTTTGCATCTGTTCAGAGGTAGGGAGTGCTGCTTCGGAGCCTTGGTGGAGATGGATTTGGGGACAGAGAGCAGCTGATCAGCTTAAAAATGCAAAATGACTGCAGTTTATTCCCTGGATATCAGTACTGTGGTGATGCCTATGTGTGTGGATTGCAGCCCTGTGCGCATGGAAATGAAGTGGTCTTTCAAAACACTTAATAAGTGTTTTCAGCTTGAAATCCTGAAGCTACTTGCATTTATCTTCAAAATGCATCGCCACTGCTGCAGTGGTTTGCAATGTGTTGTGCTTCAGATCCTGAAGTCTGGTTAAGAAACTGGAGGGAAATGAGGCTGAGACTTCTGTGTGATTATTTCATCCTTTTTGGCTCCCCTGATTAAGCCCAGCACTGGACCTCTCCCTTCTCTCCCTCTTCCCATTCACCCCATGAGGCCACCATGACCTTACAATCCACCCACAGTTTCCATGTTCATGTCAGCCTCCTTACACTTGACTGATGAGAAATATGTGATTATTCAACACATCATAAAAAAAAAGCCAGAGCAAATGAAGGAGAAATCTGGAAAGTATTTATAGAAATCTGTAAACAATCATTTCAATTCAGCTATTCAGAGCTGTGCACACATTAGCCTATTAGCTGTTGTGCAGTCATATGTTTTCTGCTTCTTTCACCTTTCCTAAAAATTAAGAAATGCTTTGCTGTACTCCCAGCCATTTTCTATTTCATAGACTTAGGCTTGCAGAAACAACTTGTTTTCTGAGCTGCAACACCGAGTATGACTTCACATCACTTCATTGACTTGAAAGGTTTGGCAAGTAAATAATTCACTGACAATCCCTGTGTGCTAAAATGCTTCTTTAGGCAACTTCAAGCACGTGCATCTGTTTGTTGTGTGCAGCTCAGCATCAGTTTCAGAGAAATAGAAAGGAGGTGAGAAAGCAGCAGCTGTGAATCTCTTCTGGAAAGCTCCAGAAGGCAACGATGAGGCGTTCATTGCAGAGCCTCTATCCTACACAAGCGTCAGTGACGTTTCTTACTCACCATGGCATGATTTAACCACTGGGGAATGACTCCATCAAGGCTTTTGGGGTAGACCAGCTCTCGGTTGTAGGTGTACAGGGCCCAAAAGGATACAGACACAAACTGGAAACAAAATAAATGAATAAAAATAAAGTAGCTGACGGTATTTGGATTGTGCTTTCATTGTGCTTTGTGTGTGTGAGAAAGCAAAATATCACCTACATGAAAAATAGCAAGGTTGCCAGATAATTAGACATATCACACGTGTTACAGCATAAAGAAAGGAATCTGCAGTGAGGTGAGGCATTCTGTGCTGGTACTGTGAGAAACCCTTCCTTTATAAACTGCCAACCATGGCATTTGCTTTGGAGTACTTGATTAGCTTTAAATTTCTCTCTTTCTTTTTTCTTTTTTTTTTTTTTTTTTTTGCAGATGGGATTGCTTGATGGTCCAGAAGTTCTCATCCAGAGATTGCTTGTCAAGGCACGGCTCAGTAACAAAGTAAAAACACATCTTGGTAAGACAGTTCTCTTAAACTTACCCTGCCTTTAAAATTCATAAGCTTACTGCCTTAATTGCAGGTGCAGAAGCAAGCTGCATTGTAGGCACCCATTTCTTCCAACACAGTATTTGCAAAGGGAAAAAGTAGCTGGAGAAAACGAATCCTGGCGTCGGCCACTGATATCCGGGGGCTTTTTTTGTGCTTTTCTTGGCCTCCTTTGCTACTTGAGCACGTCTTGTATCTGGGGGTAGAGATGAGGGTTGCTGGAAGGCTGCGGAGAGCGCGTGCTTGCGAGGGACACACGCTGCGCCGTGCCGGGGGACACGGAGCCGCCTCGGGAGCGCGGCCGGCACACGGGGTAAACGGGGCCGTGCCGCGGCCTCCGGCGCCGCCTGCTTTGCCCGGCCGGCAGCCTAAGCTGCTCGCGGACCAGGCTTAAGTCATTCCTCAGCCCTTTGAGGCAGCAGTTTCCCTTGCACACAAGGGTGCCGACGCATCTAAGGAACCCTCTGGTGCCCATTCCACTCGTGACACTGGAGCAGTTTGGTAAGAAGCGTTGTCTGTGTGGGAGGGGATGATCCCCCATGACTTTGGGGCAGGCTATGACCCTAACTAAGGTCCCGCGAATCTGTTTCTCTCCTGTGCTTACTCAAAGCCCTGCTGGAGCCAGGGGAGGGAATGCAAGACTCTGCTGCTTCCTAGGTACTGCCCCACATCCTGCTGGGCCGTGCTGCCCTGCAGAGAAATGCCATAAGCAGATAACGCCAAAGCTGTTTGGAACATGAGATTACCCCTCACCCCTTGGGGTCAAGCTGTGTTCATTCGGGGACAGCAAGCCTAAAGTTTGTACAACAGGCTTTGTATTCCACCGTGACTGAGGCTTGCAGGCGGATCTGAGCTCCGTTTCTTCTTTTAAATGGCCCCAATCCATTTTAAAATGGTAGAGCAGGGCCTACTTGTTAGTTGTTACCTGTTTTATATACACACATTTTATGCTATATACATGCATGAATATACAGAAAATGATTATTTTTACGTACAGCGGATACTTACTGTGGACACTGGGAAGGCCAGGACACTGAAAAGAAGGTCTCTGCTGGAAATTACGCACTTAACACATCGCAGTTTCTTAATTAGTCTCAACACATCAGCCAGGAAGGACACCCCATAGAAGACAGCCTGCAAAACCTAAAGTAATTACACCTAATGAGGGAAACTTATCCAGCTTTAATTAGCACGTTGCTCAATGAACTCAGTTCTTGCTCCTCAGGGAGCTGTTTTCTTCAGGAGCCGCAAGCCCACATGAGGGAAATAGCTTTTGGCTAAATCTTTTTTACTAACCGAAACTGATTAAATAAAGTAGTTCTGAAGATAACTTTCACAGTAACTCGTTTAATAGACTAAACAGAGATGTGTGATGTGATTCATATGGGAGGGGTGGAGGACACATTGAAAACGGGCTCCCTTTCGCTTTTTGTGATACTTATGTTATCTGGGTAGGAAGAGGACAGAACCAAGCTCAGAATTTGCCAAGAAAGGTTTCCATAAAAGCAATTGCTAGAGAGCTGCTCCCATGGCTTAGGCAACACTTCTTTCTGGGGACTCATGGTGCAACTGCGCTCCGTGTTGCACCAGCCAAGTAGCTCCAAGTGCTCTGACGTGTTAATTAGGCACAGAAGTTACCCAACCAGAACCTCTTTTGCTGAAGTCAAGCGAATTGAGGAAATAATTTCAAGGATTTAGAAACAGAAATCCAGACCTTAGTAACTAGACTGGGCAGGTTGCGCTCATTGATACTAATGAATTCTACAGTTTTTCTTCTCTTACTATTATTACTAATATCATTCGCAGGTAATGAGGTTAGAGTTGTTTGCTGAAGGTCCTGGCAGGATTTTGCAAAGAATCAGGTAAAAGCACTGCCATTACAGTACAATTCTGCAAATCGGAGACATAATTATCAGAAAATTGTCACTTAAACCAATATTGCTTCTTTAATTACTTCATTGCCTCTGTCAGTGCCACACAACAGGCTGTGTGCACCAGATGTGTGAGAAAGCAAGGCAGGACCTATCAGAAAAGTGCTTCTCTTCCCCTGCTGCCCTGCATCCAGCACCGAGTCTGTTTCAACTCTGTTAACTCAGGGGGTGCCCTCGTCTTTTCTTAACCCAGGCTATCCCAAAGAGATGCAACACGGGAAATCCAACCTATTGCATCAAATAGTCAGCAAGCTAGTGCTGCTTAGGTGGAAAGAGACTGTGTTTCAGCTTTCAGGATGAGGTCTCTTTTGTCATGATCTTGCTCTGAATCCGATACTTATTTAGCGTGCAGCGTGTGATGTCTGAAATTCGGGCTGGTTATTTCATCAGTTTCTGCCAGAGCTGAGAAGGGTGGGGATGGGGAGGGAACAGAATTAGAGCAATACTGCTCCCTCAGAAACGCCTCTATTATCGAAATGTCTGAGGCAAGGGAAGGGAGGCGAGTTATGGTTTCACCATGCCCATCTTCAAACAAGTTCTTCCACGTGAGTTTTCAGTACATTTTAGAGACCAAGTCCTCCCGGGGAGCAAAATGACTGTGGCGTGCCTAATTACTGTTAATCCTTACAGTTAGCTGCAATTATCCCCATCCGTATCCCAGCTTCCAGGCGAAAGGAAAGGATAGACCCCGTCCTGATGGTGGCCATGGTAGACTCCAGCCCAGGACCAGTGGAGTGCCTCCCTCCCCACACAAGCCTGTGGGGGTGCAGGTAGGTGCTAGGTGAGATGCCCAGATGCTCGAGCAGTGTGTATCAGAGGCCACACATCACCCAGGTCAGCACTCGGATCAGTGTCTCCTCTGAAGAATATGTGGTGAACAGTCCCATTCTTATGTAAAAACTAAGCAGCTTCATCAGAACAGACTTGTTTATCTTATCAGTGCATATCCTTAAGGGAGTGTGTCAGAAGAATGGGGCCAGACTCTTTTCAGTGGTGCCCAGCAACAGGAGAGCAGGCAACGGGCACAAACTGAAACACAGGAAGGTCCATCTGGATATGAGGAAAATCTTGGCTGTGAGGGTGACAGAATATTGGCCCAGGTTGCCCACAGAGGTGCCTTCTTTGGAGATCTTCAAAACTCGCCTGGACACAATCTGTGCAACGTGCCCTGGGTGCCTCTGCCTGAGCAGGGGATTGGACTTGATGATCTCCAAAGGTCCCTTCTGACTTCACCCCTTCTGTGAGTCTGTGACTCTGTTTTGTTCAGGTTCAAAATGCCCAAACCAGCTCTTTTAGATTTGGGTTTCTTTCCCAACTATCCAGTTCATTTCTGTAACTCCAGTCATTATTTCATTCACTAGGGTCTCAACCCTGTTGTGGGCCTAGTCTAGGAAAAGTACTTAGTAGGGCCCAGTGTACTTGGAGCTGAGGACGTGTTCAACCCAAGCATGTGTCCGAGTGCTTGGCCTCACCACAAGGCCAAACCCAAGTCCTTGAGGGGCTAGGAAAAGCCTCGTAATGAGCAGAAGCCGTTGTGACACCCTATATAGCCGGCAGTGACTTTCTGTAAAATGTGTGAAAAATGGTTTCATGAGGGTGGTGACAGTCTGGTGACACATGGTGACTAATTGCCAATAAAGCAATTAGGGAAAGGCATGGTTCCCAGAGGATGGGGCTATTATTATCTTGTTCATGGTCAGGCTTACATTAATCATAGGACAGGGATAGGCTTCTCCCTCCCCTTCCCCCTCCCCCCTTTCAAAATTAACTAAAACAAACATTTCTGAAAAGAAACAGTCCCAAAACAGCCACATTCTGGTCTGGTAAATATTCTGTCATATGCGGGAGAGGACAATGTTATCTTCCATATGGAAAACACTTATCTATGTATGTAACTTAATCCATTTCTCTGCTTGAACATATTAAAAAAAAAATTGAACTATTCCTGAAGGAGTTCAAACTCAGTCTCAGGAGTTTATTTTTGTGATGCTCATAGCCCTACTCGGGTCCATTAGTGAGGACTCATAAGGGGTTTCAATTAGTTTGTAACCAGTCTGCATTTTCAAGAGCAATGGGAAAATATATTTTAAAAAAAACATTCAAACAAGAAAAATGAAGATAGCTAGAATGCTTCTTAGCATCTCAATAACACGGAATCTGTCTGCATGAACCACTGATAAACTTGCATTAGGACAAACCTGGCTTCTTCCAGACTCAAGCTTATTCCTGCAAGAAAGGTGGATCCAGTTCTCACAGCACTTAGCTAATGGGAAAATGTTGACATAAAAAAAAATTGACATGAAAACATCAAATTATTCCAGATGTCCTGTGAATTTCCCAACCAGCAGTGCTGGCACTCTCAATATATTGCAGCCAATTATAGAATATAAATCCACTGACTGTAAATAAAGAGGATCCCCTAAAGTATTCCCACAAGAATGGAAAGAGGACTGGAAGCATTCAGAAAGCTAATAATTAACCCGAAGAGGAGAATATGGATTTGATTATCCTTTTTGGAGAGATTTTGCTTTACTCTGTAAACCCCACAGTTACATGCTGCTAGGTGCTTTAGAAATGCTTAATTTGGCCAGATACATTTTCCAAACTAAGAATAATAGCGAAAAAACAATCCTTCATTTTTATCTGCTGCCCCTTTTTTATCAAAAGGGTATTTCTATTTAACTAGCTTGACATGATTTATTTTCAGTTATAAGAACTATTCATATGAGTATATTGAATTCTCAAACTAGTGTAAATAACTTGTGCTCCAAGCTTTGTCCTTAAGGGGGGGATAAATCTAATATTCCAAGTAGGCTATTAGACATAACAGTGAGCATTTAGTATAGACACATATATATTCTCACAATAACATGCTGGAAAATAAATATAATAAGTACTGTGTCTATTTTGGAGTAAATAAAAGACAGCTTTCAGAAGAATTAAAAACATTTCAATTATAGGACACAAAAGTGTAAGGAACAGAATGGAACAGGAATGCAATTAATAATTTTTAAAGGTGCAGTGCCTCCTCATGCAATGCTTTACTCTGATTTATGGCAATGAGCAGACTTGTATGAGCTCAGATATCAGTCAATGAATGATTCACCTTAAACTGTTTTGTATAAGACAAATGGATATAAAACTGTTTTTATCTGTCACTTCTACCTGCTCAGTATTTGAACAGCACCTCTGAAACTAAACCCATGTATATTTTTTTTAACAAAAATATCTCCTTTTGAGTCTTGATCACTAGTTAGATAGCTGAAGCTGAAGATCAGAGCTGCAGTTCTCTTAGAAGATTCATATGGATAGTGAGGAACCTAAAGTGGCGCTAAATGAGGATCATATCTAGATGAAATTCTTTCAGCAGAGCTTGGAGTCCAACTGCATTTCTACCCCTGGAAAAATTCACATTTCCCAGTATCTTTCATTTCTTCAGAGCAAGTGAGACAGAGCAATTTTCTCTAGAATGGAATTTCTTGCCTTTTTTTACAAAGCAGTTTCAAAGAGCTAAGAGGATTTGGGAGAAAAATTTCCAAGCAATGCCAGAAACCAGGCAATCCACGTCTGGCAGGACATGGAGGAGCTGGACGCGGGTCTGTCCTCCTGGCTCGCCATGGTTTTGGAGGCCTGGGCCCAGCCCGGTCTAGCACAGCACTTCCTCCAAACCCGCATCTTCCAGCAGGAATTTCTCATCTGCCTTTTCCTTCCCCGGGACTGGATCTCCTGGCATCCCTGGGCGCTTTGTGGGCCTGCTTCCAAACGTGCAGAAGTGCAACCCAGCTGTGCAGGCGCGTGCGAGAAGGCGGCCGCCTGAGCGCCCCTCCGTTTGAAGAGGACTTCAGGACACCAGAAAACTTCGCCGCGCTGACCCCTGTCTGCAAACATTTCTTTCCCCCCAACCCCTTTCCCTCTTCAGCAACCCTTTCCTAAGAAAAATAATCTCTGTGGAGGAAGAGCTACAGGCCATGAAGGCGCAATTTTCCACTCCCTGCCCTGTCCCCACCTTTTCTGTGTGAGAGAGCACAGCAATGCTGCCTGCAGCCCAAATCATCTCCCTGTTGGCTGACAGCTCCATTTTAGAGTCAGGGCTGGATCAATAACTGGTTAAAAGATAAGAAACCAAGGCCTGGATGGGAAAAGCAAGGGCCCCCACTCGCTTCGATTTAATGAGACCTGGGCTGTTCTGCAGAGTAATGAGCGAGCTAGGAAAAGAGGTGAACAGGGAGGTGATAAAGCTTCATAAATATTTTTCTTTTTCTGTCAAAGCTAAGCCTGAACTGCAAAATTGCCAAAGAATCCCAGGATATGAAGTGCCTGAGAGATCAAATAGCAGGTGAAAACCAATGTTGGTAAATGCAAAGAAATGTATTCCAGAAAAAAGCTCAACCTCAACTATATGTTTTCAGCAAATAAGTTTTAAATTACCTTTTACCACCGAGGAAAGACATTTTGGACTCACTGTGGATTAGTTCTCTAAAACCTCTAGCTTCTTGCTTAGTGGTAATCAAAAGAGACGAACAGAGAGTTAAGCATTGTTAAGATGGGGAAAAAAAATAGCAACAGCCTAGGAAACACCTTTAGGCCACTATAAATCCATGCTGTGCTCATAGCTTGACCACTGCAGTCTGTCCTACTTAACCCCTTCTCTAAACGGGAAAAGCTACTGAGCAGGGCAACAAGGGTGTTTTAATGAAAGAAGCAGCCCTTTGTGAAGAGAGATAAAAAAGATTTGAACTTTCAGCCTGGAGGAATGAATAACTAGGGGAAAAATATGGTAGAGGTCTCTCAAATAATGAGTGGGAAAAACTAGTGAACAGGGCAAGGCCACTAAATTATTAACAGAAATAAAAGGGCATCCAATTCAGTTATCAGAACATAGGTTTATACCAATCAAATGAATTGCTTTCTCACACAAACAAAAGGGAGTTGTGCAATTTATTGGTAACAAATGTGTAGATAGCTCTGCTTCTGTTTTTGTTTTCAGGTAGATGATTCTATAGCAGAGTAATAGGCATTAGCTACATTAGCCTGGATTTAGCCTCTGGTTCGGGTCTGCACACCTTTGCTAAGCCAAACAAGAGGTTAGACCCACGGAAGGATCATTTTACACTTGTTCTCTTCTTATGTACTGTTGTGTTATGTCTCCCTAATGATCCGCTGCTGGTCACTGGAGGAAGCTGGGTACTAATTTCAATGAGCCTTTCTGTTCCCCAGAAGACACAGAGAAGAATCACTTTCTCCTCTTGACCTTGTTTTCTAGAGGCCTGTCATTATGCTGGTGGGTTAGATCTCATTAGAGTTGAGCGGGCGGATGGGGGATGGAGACGTTTTGTAGCCTGAGGGTACAACTGTGACTTCAATGGGGCCAGCTTCATCCAAGAGCCGGAGAGGAAGAATTGGGCACACAGGCAGCAGCTTGTTTGAGTCCTGGATGTTGGTGCTTTAGTCTGCTGACACATACCGGCACACTTTCCAGGGTGGGGATCTGCCTATCTGTTGAATCATGACCAAATCACTATCATTGGTGTTTTAGTAAAATTAGTTTAAAAAAAAAAAAACCATGACAATCCTCAAACATACTGATAAGAAGCTCATTTAACAAGATAGGTATGTAATCCTAACTGCAATGAGATCTATCCTCCTTCCTCCTGCTTTGATTACCATGGGTTTATCTCTTGAAAAGGATGCTTCCTGTCTTCCTGAAGCCCAGCCTTTTGTTGGCTACCTCACCTGGCTCCTGGTTATAACTATTTCCAAAGTCCCCAGGAGTCCCCAGAGGCCCCACATGGGGCTGGGAAGTTGTTAGCTTAGGCTCTGTGCTGGTGGAAGTGATAGCGGGTTCTTGTACGTACATGCCACGAGAGGCATATGTAAGAGCTCGCCATCAGGCTCTGCTGGGGGTGACTCTAAAGGTCATGAATATAAATATATGCAGGACTGGGACTTCCACCTATATTTGACTCTGCCTGTCACACAGAACAGAGGAAAAGCTATGGGGGTCCCTTTACTCATCCTTCAGACTAGTGGGTGTTGCCAAACTCTGTGCCTTGCAGGAACGCCCCCAACAAGTCCCATCTTTCCAACCCATGGCCACCATCATCGTGAGTGGCCGTGGTGACGGGTTACATGGACTGCACACAGCCCCATGGGCTGTTCGTGTGCTTTCCTTTCAGTGTGCACCCTGTGACACGTTAGCCTGGTGGGAGAAGCAAAGGACATCACGGTCAGCGTTTCTGTGGGTAATCCTAGGAAATGCAGCAAAGAGATGATAGTAATATTAAAACACATGCACAAGTGTTCCAAGTCTCTCTCTTTACAGACTGGAATTTCTTTCCTTCTCGTGCTTTAAGCTGATTTTCAAACAAAGCACACACTCTGAGTAGCAAAATTAGCATCACGCTGTGTTTCACCTTTCCTTTAATTCGCAAGACATGCAAATTCAGTACAAACGGCAGTTGAACTACAAGCATTGCTGATGCCTAACTGCAAGCTAAGGGTTAAACAGCACACATGCAACTCACGCATCCTGCCTGTACTCTACCTTCTTTCCCCCCTCTCCTCACGGATAGCTTGCGTTGCATAAGGAGGCAGCTCACTCCCGTGTACTCACCCGCTGAAAGCCAACCGTGTTGCCACGTCACGCTCTTTCCACGGGAATCCCGTGGATGCGTTTCACGGCACGAGCTCGGGTGCCCGCCGGGCTCCCTTTGGGGCACAAAGCGTTAAGGGAAGCAGTGGAACAGCAGCACACGCGGCAGCTGCACATGTCTCGAGGCACAGATGGCAGACAAACAAACAGACATATCGGGAGCGCTGCGCAACACGGCTCGCTTACCAGATTGAGAACCGTCAAATACTTCCACTGCCCACCGTAGAGGAACAGCTCGGGCGGCCGGTTGTCCGTTCTCAAGTGTACGACCGAGTAGTTGACAAAAAAATACCAGGCGAAAGCAAGGCAGTGGTACACAGTGAGAGTAGAGATTTCCATGCTTCAGCTGGGAGCAGGCAATAATCGGTCCAAAAGCAGCTCTTCTCTGTGCACGGGGAGCGTGAGGGCAGGAGGGTTTCCTTGGGGGCAGGTTCGGGATACGGGGCCTGCAGCGAGGGGAGGATCGCAGCCCTGCGACCTTTGCTTCTGTTCTCCTGTTCTTTACTGTACTGGCAGGTTTGGGGGGGTGGGGAAGCACAGGGCTTATTCCTTGGATTTAGATGGTGAAGATTAGTGAAGATTAGTTGCAGAGTTGCGTAAGTTTTTTTGCAAAAGTCCGGAGGCGGTGGGGAGGCTGTGGCCGCTTGCGTGGGGTGGCCTGCCGCGCTGCGGGTCGCGAGCGGGAACAGGCCGCGTGTGCCAGGCCTGCAGCCGGCGGTCACGGCCCCAGTCCGGCCTGGGAAAGCTTCCTCACTGCTTTTCCTCGTGCCGAGGGAAGAAGCGGGGAGCACAGCGGCCTGTGAAAGAGCAACGGAGCCATTTGTTAGCGTGCTGGAAGGGCGGAGAGGGTGCTGAGGGGGCTGGTAGGCAGCGATGCTTTGGGTTGAAAAACGCAGTGAGCGTGGACATGGGGATTTTTGGGAAATGCTCTGCCTCCTTCATTTCACTTGCACAGCTGGGATCCTTAGCAAATAATACGCACAGCGGCTCTGCCAAAGCCTGAGTCACTCTGAGCCGCGAGCACGGGACACAGGCGAGGGGCAAAGGCCCCTGGTGGCACAAGCTGAGTCCTGAGCGGGGCTTCTCACTCACCGGCCTCCTTCCTTACTGCAGGGAGGATCCCAAACCCATGGAATCACCCTAAAATCCCTGCTGGGAGCGGACGCTGTGCCGGAGCACCCTCCCTTGCGGCAGGAAGGCCATCCCACAGGCGCAGGCCGAGCTCCGGCCAAGCTGAGCACGCGAAGCCATCTCTTACTTGGCCCTTCTGACCGGCCCCTGGGACCACTGAGCAATCTGTTGCATTTTGGGTTGCTTTGGTCTTTTTCTTTTTTTAATTTTTTTCCCGATGCTGGATTTAAGGCCACACATGGGATGATTTCATACAGACTGAGGCAGCAATGTGCATGCATGTTGGGCAACAGCCTTTGCTCTTAGACCTTTCAATATCCTCCTGTGTTTCATTGACTTCTCCCCTAATTTAGATTACCCACAGTCAGACTCCCCAGGCGGCCTGGTCATCACAAGGCAAAGGAAATATTTCTGCCTCACTTAGAAAAATAAAAATGCGGATCCTCATGTGGTTGTTTGAGGTTGGAGGAGAAAACGCCTTGCCAGGAAAAAAAGAAAAAAAAGAAAAGTGGAATGAGGGAAAAAAAGATGAGAACATGCTGTTTTGGCCTCTGACAGTGTCACTGGGCTTTCCCTAAGAAATCCAGCAGAAAATGTTTTTCATTTGCGTTTACAGACATTTTGGGGAGGGAAGGCAGTGCTGGCGTGAATGGCTTCCTCTGTTCCACCTTGTTATGACTGATCCTTGCTGCAAAAGGCAGGAGCAAGAACAGGAATATGGCAGGGAAGGGCCTTTTTTTGTTATTGTTTTGCATCTCGAAATCACCAGGCATTCAGCACTTAGCAAGTTTTCTTCACACCAGTCTTTTTGAGGGTTTTGCTGTAGTGCAGCTTTTAAAGTGGGAAGGCATGTGCTTCTGCTGGGTAGGTGCCTGTGTTTATGCAAATGAATGTAAATGCATGCAAAATGGCAAGGTACCTTTTTTTTTCCTCTTCTGGGGGATCTTGGCCAGTATGGCTGTGAAGGTGTCAAGTATGGTGACAGTTTTCTGATGTGGACACCTGTCCCACAGACTGAGACCATCTGTTTTGTTTTCCCACACACAAGAAGCAAGACGCGTATCCTTCAGCCAAGCTAAGAGATGAAGTTCAGAGGTAGAAAAATTGCAGAGAAAGAGTGAATGCCAGTTAGGATCTGAAGTCTAACACCCCGCACTTCATGAGAACTTATTTTATATTTCACTGCCAGTGCGATGCAACAAGCAAATACACTAGAAAAATGGCATCTTCTGCCGTCTTTCCATTGGTGTGAACATCTACTCAAGGTTCAGTGGAAAAGGAATTCAGCCCCAAACTTTGCCCGGGGAGGTGGAGAGGAGGTGGAAACAGGGAGCACATCAGGGCGCAGGCAGATGTGCAGCTACAGGTCTTGCAGGATGATTTAAGGAGCTACCGTGCTCCATCTGCTTCATACTGAGCTCAGATGGGCTGCTCTCCTGCAGCGGGGCCACACGATGCTCCCGCTCTGCTCCAGAGGCCCGTACAGCTTATCCAGGGAGAGCTGACTTTGCACCAGAGCACACCAGGAGCACCCACGTGGTCACTAATGCAGTTCAGCTAAGGCGTAGCAGCAAGTAATTGGAGCTGTAAATTACTTTATATCCACAAAATGTCCTCTGCCTGTGCCCTCTCCTAAAGCAGCGAGTCAAGTCAATTTATCTGATTTTGTGCTGAAATGGGCATGAATTACTCATATTATTAATAAGTACAAGAATGACGGCAAACTGTCCAGGCTGGTAACACCTTAGACCAGTATGTCTGTCTGCAAAGTGATTGTGTGTCTTCAGTGATGGCAATGGCATTTGCAGGCTACTGAGCAGTCCCTCATAAGCTCACTGTTAACCAACACCGCTTGGTTACAATCTCAGCTCGCCCCTACTGAGTGTAAAAAATGAGCTATATGCCCTAATCCTGCCTGTGATTATACATCCAAGTGGCATGCAAGGTGCATTAATAGAGAAAGATCTACCCTGGGACCTGGAAGCTGCCTCAGCTGATAGAAAATGGGTATTTTTGCTTCTTCATGGGCTGACAATTTGTTTAAAGACCTGTTATGTACCTTTCAAATGTTCTCCAATCCTGTACCAACAAGTATTGCTTTCTATCAGGGCTGTATCCAGTGATGGCAAAACAAGCAAGGACAAGCCAGGAAACTGCTGACAGGTGTTAGCAACTAAGGAAAGGTGGGAGGAAGAGATTTAAATCCTGGTGAATGGCTGAAGAAGGGGATTTGAGGGGCCTAAGTGTAAAAATCTGGAGGTTTGTTTCTGGCCTTCCTTTCTTGATGATGTCTGTGAATAAAGTTGTTAAATTTCTTAGATTGTCTTCTCTCAGTCAGGTGGTTTTTCTAGTATGAAAAAGAGAAAAATGAAGAGGTGGGTAAGTAAGTTTTTCATTTATTTAATGATTTTTTTTTAATTTTTTAATTTTTTAATGATATTTTTAATGATTGTTTCTGTCCTTACAGTGCTTACCTTATGCTGGGCTTTCATTATTTATTTATTTATTTTTCCTTACCTTATTGCTGTTGTAGCCTGGCTTGTGTCAGGGGTGCCATTCCTTGAAAGCAGCAGCTGGAGCCGTTCCCGTGCGGAGCATGGCATGCAAGCACAGCGCAACTTAACAGCGCACGGCCCTGCTATGCTCTGATTTAGCTGCTGGTTACAGAGCGCTCCGAATGGAAAGTGCCTCTTCTGATAAGCATTAGTCAAGACAGCTTTTCTTAATATGTAGTACAAGAGTGCCTGAGCGTTGAGGTCCTGGGGATATGTGTAATAACAATTTGTTCTGTGTCTGTCCTGATATAGAAAATGAAATGTAATAGACAAAATTGCAAGCTTGGCATAGTCTATCCTAAGCCTCCTCAAATCCTGAGGCAGACTCTTAAAAAGCATGTGGTTAGTGTAATTTCCAAGGCTTAATTCTCTCCAGTTTTGTCTTGGGTTACAGTAGCCTCTAGGGGGTCTGGGTTTTCCAGCTCTTCCTCCCAGCCGTGCAAGTGACAAATGTAAAAATGTTTTAACAGCTAATAAGAGTCGAGGTCCTCGGCTAGCTACAGAGCGGGGTCAGCTACAGCTAATGGAAAAGCCACCAAAATGTTCTGATTTTTCTTTCTGCTGAAACTTTGAGAATAAGCAATGCTACTGTATTAACCTGGTGCCCGTGAAAAGCAGAAAAGTTTACACACTTATCTACGCGGGCTTCACATTTTTCTTTAGTTTTTCAAGCAAGGCAGGGAAGTGGTTTGTTTCATCTTGATATTTGTTCGTAATTTTTAAGAAGCTATTTTAAATCATCAAAATCCAGGTGGCATTTTTCAGTTTAATAGTGATAGTGTGCAGAACAGAACTGGATTGAATAAATATTTGTTTAGATTTTAGGGGATTTCTCCTGTATTAAGATTCTCTTTTAGAGTTTCCATATTCTCAGTCAGCGCTCCAATCATTTTCATCCAAAACCTCCTAGGTAACAATAATTTGATGTTTCTGGCTCTTTAAATGAATGAAAATTATGGCAATAATCAGAGCAAAACTCTTCCAGTGAACAGCCTGGGTTCTAAATGGATATACTGCAAATAAGAAACAGTTGATGGAAAGAATGTTTGGCTAACACATTGCCTCCGACTCGGAGTGGAAATTATTAAGTATTTACCTTGCCAATGACATCTTCTCCCTTGGCAAGGTGAATACTGCTTCTAAACAAAACACCTTTGATTCCTAATAGCTTTCTAGATTTTACACTTTTTGATGAGAGGTGTGACCTTGCCTCTGGATTTTACCCTTCTCTTCTGTCAGAGCTGGAAAGTTAATCTTTCACTGCTCAGAAAGACTGTGCACAAGCAATTGGAAGTTCACAGCAAAGCAAGCTCTCGAACCACACTATATTGGAGGGGGGAAAAAAATACTATGGTGTTTTCTAGATCTCTGGTACATGAGGCCAGACTTGGTTGCCTCAGACTCCTTGCTGCCAGCGGAGGCCAAGAATGTTATCGCCGTGATCTGTAAATAGACCAAGTGATCTGGTAAACAGACCCAAGCCAATGTCGTGCGTTATTTAACCCATGTCTGCTACTGTCCACAACATCTGAAAACACGATGTAGTTTGCATGGGGTTTCTCCATCAGCCACGGAAATCCAGCAGCATCTAAGGTGCAATCCAGTAACTCCCCGAGTGTTTCATAAGGGTTCAAAACTGGACATAGATGGCACTTTACTAATGGAATCGCTTTCCGGTGACAGTATGAAAGCTACTAAGCCATCACACTTAA